GAATGTTTGGAATGTCTTAGCTTAGGTTCCCCAGGACACAGATACAGAGACTGAGATTTATATGCAGGTTTTTAATTGGGTAACTCATGATCACACGTGAGGAGGAATGAAGGTAGTAGAATTAGGCAGAGAAAAATTATCCTGCAGTGTAGTTAGAACCAAGACTGGAGCTCAGCCCTCCTCAGTCCTGAGGGAGTGGATCCCAGATGTGCACCACAGCATTCACTCCACATGGTGGTTCCTATAGGATAGGGTCTTTTGGGAGTGCAAGAATCATTATGCAACCTGTAGAGGAATTATGGGGAAAATCTCAGATCATTTTGGGGGTTACCTTTGTTATTTGGGGTTGCAAGTCAGGAAGGTCTCAGATGCATTTTAGAGGATCCAAATGGTAATTTTGAGCTGCTCCTTGTCAGCTTTCCCCTCACTCAGTGAAGACCATTCCAAGGACAAACAGGACCGCTATACACATCAGATCCCCAAAGTGAAGGCCAAGACATAGTGCACTTGTATTACTCTGTGTGTCATACCTATTCATTTAGTTATTCACTGCATGTGGAGCCTATACTATATATCAGGGTTTTTTGTTTGCACTAGGGATAAAAAGGGTAAACCAACAGAATATACTCCCCTACTTAAATGGCTATTTACTAATAACTTAGTAACCTAAGTTATTTTTAAATGATGGAGACAAACTCTTTCACTTACTAACAGTCATGCAAGTCAAATGCGCCAGTGCAAAGGACTGATGTAATTCTTCCCTCAGGGGCTCCCGCTTCTCACTGGCATCATCACCTCATCCAACTCTGCCTACTGTTTCTGTCCCCGTGTAGCTGGTGACAACCAGAGGAAATGACACCTAAATTTAACTGGTCTCACTTCAAATTCCTGTCCAGCTCCTCTTGTAGTCCCCTATTTGTCTATTCCATACCTTTTCTGTGGAGCTGTACAGAAGTCCAGCTACTCTTCCATGTTTTCTCTCAACCACATATCTTGTTTCTTCTTCCATTGCCCCTGGAAGCAAATGAGGATTTCCAGTCAGCCCACCCACTTGCCTCAGGGACTGTTCTCTACTCAGTATTGACTGGGAATGGTCTGTCCCTCACCTTGGCTGTTGTCCCTGGAATTATGCACCAGCTGCCAGCCTCACTCATGGCATCCCTACTGCAATGTGTCAAAAGAGAAAATTACAACAAATTTAGTGTAAAGATGGAGTTAACTTTTATTTGTGTATCTAGAATCGGGCAACATCTCATTTTATAAAATAGAATGAATGTTACCATGAGCTGAGGAGATGAGGTTGGCTTTATGGACAGAAAAAGGCTGAGGAAAGCAGAAGTGGGGAGCTAGATGGTTAGCTCAGTTGGTTAGAGCATGGTGTTATAACACTAAGGTCAAGGGTTCAGATCCTCATACTGACTAGCCCCCCCCCCCCCAAAAAAAAAAAAAAATACCAGAAGGTGGGTGGTCCGGTGCGGGGGCGACACTGAGGGTTGCGATCCGTTGCCGGACACGGAAAAAGACAAAAGACAAAAAAAAAAAAAAAAAATACCAGAAGGTGGGAACAAAAACAACTTGATCATTTCAAAGTTACTTTCCTTGTAGGGTTAAAACAGAGGGGACTTCTTTATTATACTGACTCTGGTGGATTGATGTCTGTTTTTTTTTTGTATAACTGGCCCATTTCAGAGTTCAGTTTGATTACACAGCACTTAGGACAAGTGGCTACGTTCTGGTTTGGTCTGGTCCGCTGGGGCCTAGTGCAGCAGACTAGTCGAAAACAGTGGCTTCACATAAAATTTGTTTATCAACTGTGTCATCAAATTTTTCTTCTAGGGAATTATTTTGGTGAACATGCACGGGTAATGGTATTGTTTATTTTTTTTTTGTCTTTTTGTCTTTTTGTTCCGTGTCCGGCAACGGATCGCAACCCTCAGTG